CAGAGTATTCCGTCCTGGCTTTGAGTTTTGCCCTCAAGCCCTGTAAGCGTCTGCATGCACGGTGGTCAGTGGTGTTGGAACAATAGCTGCCGTTTTCTTCTCTTACTTAACATCTTCTAATTTATTCCCCCATCCTCTAGTTTCGTACTGGATGAAACTGAATAAGTTGCTGTAGTAGATCTTCTTTCTTTGCTTAAATGTACGCTTGTAGCTGCAGTAGCCTAAGGACAAAAGCAAGGCATCTAAGCACAGACGCTTTTCCTGCAGTGATTCTGGCTGCTCAGATTAAAAACTAGACAGTTTTTGTATTTTTTCTTTTCCCTAGGAGATAATGACTACTTAATCTCTATTCCTCTCTCTGACATCCCTTCTACTCCACAGGTGCCAGCTGTCTTTTCTCTTAGTTGTTTGTCTATAAACTAGGAGGAGTTCTCCTCGAGTTCTATTTAGCTCTGATGTTTACTGCCTCAATTTCAAACCTGATGTGTTTTGTGCCTGAAGATTTCCCTGTCCTTAGAAACACCTTGAAAATATGTCTCCCGTGCATGTCCTTAAAGTATGTGGGCCACCATCAGATGTTCTGTTGTTATTCTATAACGTGGTTGTTTAATGGCTGTGAATAGAGCACTGCTGTGTTCTGATTCTGTAATGCGTGTAGTAACACTGTAGTCTGTTAACTTCTCATCTTAAAAAACCAACAACGAAACTCCCCAAGACCTGTTTCTGAATAGAATTGTTCATTTTCTAACAAAACAAGTTGATGTAAACTTAAACTGACCTAAGAATTTGCACTGCATAGGTTAAAACTCCCAAGTAATGACTCTGGGACCCCTTGGAAAGGAGGGGTTCCTGAAGCTTAATGAAGGCTATGTCAGCTTCGCGGCGTTTGTTGGGAAGTTGACAGAGTGAATGTGTGTTGATAGATGAAAAATATTGAATGCTGGCCATGTTACAGAAAGGTTGGAAGTTACTGACCTAGCACGAGTTTTTGTTACTGAGTTTGGAGGGGAAATACAGGGAGGGAAATCCTTTTTTATAATAACAAGGCAGGGGAGTGGGAGAAAAAAAAATCCTCCACTTTGCTACCAAGTTCCATGAGATGCACAGATCATTCACTGTCAGAAAAATTTCATTTCCTTCCTGCCATTTCAAAATCATACATGTGTATAGCTGCAGTTTTACCACTTCCAGTTTCAAGAGCTGCTCAGTTCTTGCTTCTTTTCAGCTCAACTATGGTTTCTGGCACAGTTTTCTTTCAGCAAGAAAGGAAAACCTTATGCTACAGATGATTTCAAGTGGCTTCGAGATGTTATTTTGTATTCCATTTGCAAAACCCTCATTCATGACATAAAAGATATATTTTGATACTGAATATTTGTGAATTTTGCAGATGGAGAAAATGCTTCTAGTTTACTGTTAGTATTGGAACATCCAGCTTGGGTATTTCACTATCTCACTGATAGAATTCCCTGGAAATGGAGCATTGACACTGACTACATAAGGTTTTGCTCCTCTTTGGAGTAATTTTTGTTAAATAGAACTGTATACCATTGCCAGATCTGTATCAGTTCTTTTTCAGTCTTAGCTGTGCCTCTGCAACTTACTGAGCTGGAAGAAGTTAGAACACTCATGTTGAGTCATCCTCCATGTGATCAAAGTTGAACTTGTTTGCTGTGGAGGTTTTTTTTTTTTCTGTGTATCTTGTGGTCAGTCATAACATGACACCTAATCAGCTGTTTCCTTCCTTTTTTGCAGTGTTATCAACACAATGCTGGTGACTTGTGCTGTTTGCTGCTACCTGTTGTAAGTATAAATGATGTCTTGCCCCTTAATCAAGGCATGGCTCTGATGTCTTCAAAATTTCCTTTTCTATATCTCCAGCACATTAGGAAGAAGCTTTTCAAATGTGTCACAGAGATTTAGACCCAGGGTATTCTTTGACAGCTCTTAGAATTCTTAGTTTTAGGGACCTTGAACCTGCTGAAGGAAACATTTTCTTGTTGATGGATACTGAATTCCTCTTGTTGTCTTTTGACACGTAACTATTGAATAGTGCTTGGCGTGGACTTGATCTTACTCCTTTCTGATTGACTGGCTTATTTGCTCACAAGTATAATGGCAGTTTGTCAATCCTAGAATTTTTCTAATTCACAGTAGAGGAATTACATTTTTGCCTTTTTCATTCTTTATGCCCTTACAGTTATTTCTAAGGTGATCCTAATTTAAACCTCCTGATGAGTTGTTTTACTTAGTTTGGTTAAATATATTCTCCAAATATGGTAGAGTGGTGGGTGGAAAACTTTATACGTGGCTTTTTTTTTCCATATATGACATGATTTTTCTGACAAACTTGTGATGCTTTAATATATTGACTGTTCCTTTTTAAATGCACAATATATTTTGGGGCTGCCATTTTTCTTTAAGAGAATTTGTAGAAATAACAAAATGAAGAACTCCTAATACCATGCTTGGTTTTTTGTAAGGAGGTAATCCAACTGTAACTGGAGTCAGCAGAGGAAGCATGGTTATTGTTTTCTCTAGACCTCTTTTTCTTTTAGACTTTTTTTTTTTTTTTAATGTAGAAAGTGATCTTGTCAAGAAAGTGCTATGCAGAAATAATTTTTGAAAGGGAAGAATTTGTTATGGGGAGTAAACTTGTAAAAGTCTGGCTAGATCTTTAGAGTAACTTGTAATAAAATCATCATTCAGAGTTCCACTTGAACCTGAGTAGTATTTATACTTTATTGCAGTATTTAGGCATTATTTATGCTACATCTAAGGAGCTTAACATGAATATTTAGAGAAATGCATCTTTAATCTCAAGATTTGTTCTTAAGAACTGGCAGCCAGCAGCCACATTATCAGTGTTGGCAAGTTCCAGGAGGGGCCTGTTTGGTTTTGTTTTGGGTTGGTTTGTGGCACAGGCTTATGCAGGTTTGACCTAGATCAGTAGTGTGATATTAAGGTGTTATACAGGTGAAGACTTTTTTTTTTTTAAGAGTGTTTGACATGGGAAATCTTAAGAAATCTTTCTTCTGTGAAAGAACAGCAAACTTGGTTCTGTGTTTTGTATCTAGAACAGTTGTTTAAAATTTTGCTGGGCAGACATAGAAACTTCAAAAGAACTTTGTAACGCCAGCAACTTGAATTTGGGATTGAAATTTAGGGATTTCAGTGCTGTGAAGGCTTCCTTGTCTGCCCTCCTTGTCGTGGTAGGTCCCAAATGCTTGGCTAAGAAAGGGCAACTGGATGCTCATTTTTACTAAGTTATAGTAAGGATAGAGGGGAGTGTGGTGTTTTGGGGTTTGTTTTTATTTTCAGTATAAAGTTCTTACTTAAGTTCTTCCTAACAAATAAAGCTGTGCTCTCCTAAAATCCTTGAGGGTTAGGTTTCATTTTCTTCTTTGAAGAAGGACAGTTTCCTTGAAGTTGAGGCCACGTGACATCTGCAGAATCCTCTAGATTGTGATGTGGAATGTATTTGTTACAGAGTTTTTTAACTTTGAATACTGTGAACTCTTCAGATATACAATGGTATTTAACTTGGTTTTGGTTGTTTTGGTTTGGGTTTTTTTTTTTTACCAAAACAGATCTGTTGCAAATCCAGTGTCATTATGTTAATGGGACTTATAATCAGTTCTTGCATGTCGAGTGAGGGGGGGGTTTCCTGCAGGCTTTAACTTGTTTCCTGCATAACCTTTGGTTTTCTCTAATTACACCTTGAAAAAAGAGAAGCAGCAAAATCTTTGTATGTTTTTAAGCCATCAGTAATTATACCCAACCACATAAATTAATTAGTGGCTGGTTGCCAGAATACAACAAAAAGCAGTTTTTTCTCCTCATGTTCTAAGCTAGAACTTGCCTCATCACAGAGTCTTTCCCTCCTTCCCCTGTACATGAAAGTACTTTTCCATCTGAAAATGGGGAGGAAAACAGTTTTCTGTCTCTGTCAGACACTACTTGAATAACATTGATTTGCATCGAGCTGAATTTATGCTATCTAGATTTAAAGTCCATCACATTTCAACTTAAAGCTGTTTCTTCTGTGTTTAAATTTAACAGTGATCATTTTGAGTAACCACATCAATCACAGGGTGTTAATTTGGTTGCTCTATAGGAAATTTTTGCACGGTTAAGTGCGTAATTTGTGTATAGCAATTGTACCCAGCAGCCTTTTGAGGGAGAATACACGAGCCTCGGGAAGCTGGAAAAATATAAGGAGTTACTGCTGCAGAAATTACAGGTTACGCTGTGTTATAAGCTACTGTCTGAATCTATTTTTGCTGCTTAGAAGGCAGTTCCTGAAACAGTACCATGATATTGTACTAACAGGACAGGATCCTTGAAAAAATGCTATTATTTGCTACTGATTCTAAAAGGATTCAAATATAGTTGCTCAAACTGACATTTAAACAGAGATAGCAGGACCTTAATGTGTAATACACTGCCTAGACAGATGGCAGTTATGGTAGAGAGACCTTTTAAAAAGTCTTTCTGGTAGAACATAAGGGACTTTAATTTCCGCGGCTGAGCTGGGTAATTAACGCTAGCTGTTGTAAATGGTATCTTGTAGAATTCAAGGACCTGTGGGTGGCTTGAATGCCATACCTGATTTTAGCAACTCCAGAACATTACACGTTGGATACAGAGCCGTGCTTTGTTTTACTGAGTGCTGCACTTTACTTCGTGTTGTCACGATAGATCCTTGTATAAAGCAGCATCGCTGAAGCAAAATGTGGGAAAAGCTTCTTCATGGCTTGCCTCGATACAAGGGAGTCGCAGAGTTCAGTGCCTAGCTACTTCAACTGCTTTAAATTATTAGGCTCTAGCAGAGCAGGGAGGAGGAATAATGCTACTGTGGCTCAGAGCTTGTGTATCCAGCATGGTCCCAACAAATACCTTTTGAAAACTGCACAGTACTTGCCTAAAACTTGGTTATACAGCTAGGGCACATCAATATTTTGAATGCTATTCCAGCTCATTTAATTCACAGCCATGCTGGGTCTGAACTTGGGAAGCACAGAGAGGTGAGATATTTGTGCACAGAGTTCCTTCCTTCAGTACAATGAGAAAGGGAATAATGTGCTTTAGCAGACTTGCAGTGCTCCTACCCTCCTCCCACTTCTGGTAGTTCAGGATGCTAAAGGCAGATGGTACAGGGCTCTGGCACCCCTTCTAGCTGTCTTTTGTGTCTGAAAATTAACCCTTCAAAAAGAAATCCTGTGGTGTTTTTAAGAGCTAATTTGCTTTTCCCTTAAGTAATTTGAAACCAACGATTAATGTGGTTTCAAAATATATTTTTTTTTTTTATCGCTTTGGATAGCAAAGTAGAAACAAATCAACCTAAAGGTTATTGGCTCTTCCTGGTGGTGTCTTGCTGCTGTTTTAATTGCTTTGTAGAGCCTGCTATGTATTTCAGAGCTTGCATGACTGATAGCCTGCTGCAGGCTCAGCATGTCGTTTTAACTGGAGTCTTACTTTGTGCAAAACTGAAAGGGGCATTGAAAATAAATATTTCCAAATTTAAAGAGGATTGATGTGTTTTCCTTAAGTCTGGCCCACATCTTTTGCCCTTGGCTGTTCTCACCATTTTACAGCAGACCTGCGCTTCGTTTGCTGGTCAAAGCATCAAGGTTTGTGTGGAATTTTCCATGACTGCCTAAGCACTCCGATACATTTGTGGCAGCTCCCATTACAAAGCTGCTCTGCTTTTTCTCCTCCTTACAAAGCATTCTAGAAATAGCAGACAGATGAGCCAGTGTGTTAACTCAATGTGTTTATGTAGTTAGTATTTAACACAGATTTAAATCCATGGAAGCATCCATCGCTTTTCCTGAATCTTGTAATATTTACAAAGCCAATATATCTTTTAACAGTGGAATATTGTTTCTGTTTAGCTTTCCTGGATATTTTCCACAAACTACATTCCACTTGTTCTCGGTTCTGGCTGTGGCTTCTGCAGTTTTAGTTTGTGAGCTGCTCTGACGACAGGGCTGCAGTTGCTGAGCTGTGGTTTGCTGTCGTATTGGTTTTGTTGTTGTGGGGTTTTTAAATTTTTTTTGGCATGTTACTGTAGACCAGTACCCTTTTGCCACAGGTCCCTGTTGACCTCTGTGCCAGGTTTAAATTCACTTTTGTTCAATCTCTGATGAAAAATGTACCAGGTCTGCAAGTACAGCTTGTCATACAGTGAAAATAAGAGCAAATGAGAGAGACTCTTTTTCTCAGAGGTTTTTGTTTAAAGGATGCTTCAAAGGCACTGTGAAAAGGTCTCTCTCTCTCTTATGTTTCTATCTTCTGAGCCCAGAAATACCTGAATGTCCTATGTCTCAAAACACTTTCCTGTCAGAGTACAAAAGAAGTGCTGTCAGATGGTTTGCTATTGCTTTAAATTGAACAGGATAATTTATTGTGTCAGTTGCAGAACGATTTGGTACCAGATTTTCTTCACTGGTGTCTGGTCTTTGTGTATGAGCTTGGCTAAAATTTTGATTTGATACTAGACCTTCCTTAAAATCATCTTTTTGTCTCTGATATTACTTGTCCTTTGGACCAGCCTTGACATTATCATAAGGTTTGTCATTTGGCTGACGTTTTCTCTTTTGGGTTGGGGGGGTTGTCTTGCAGTTGGCTGATTGCGATTCTGGCTCAACTCAACCCTCTCTTTGGGCCACAGTTAAGCAATGAAACAATCTGGTATCTTAGATATGACTGGCCTTAAGGATGTGTACCCTCTGCTGCAGTTCATTGACTAGGTGAGTATGATCAGATTTGTTCATATGTTTGATATATTAACGCTTCAGGAGAAATTGAGCAGCGGCCTAAGCAGTGCGTTCAGAATGGCTGGCTGTTCCGCGGGAGAAATCTCTCTCTCTGCAGGCTGCTACAAAACATTTTTGTTGTTAATCTTGAGTGGATACTGTGAAAAGCTTAGACTGAATTCTCATATAGTTATTTTTCTCTGCTGTTGTGTCATGTGGTGCTGCGTTCAGTAAGCAGGGGTTTGTAAGAACAGTGTGTTTCTTCTACAAAAAAGAAAAATCAGGCTGGAGTGTCTCAACTAGCATAAATGGATTTCCTAATCTTTCACCATTATTAAACTCCTCTTGAAGCCTACTACCATCGCATCAAAGAGTTATCCTGATGTCCAAGGCAATGTACTGTTGCCCTCATTCATCTGTGAAGTCAGAATGAGAACTGCAATTAGAATGGTTCTGTCTACTGCCAGCATGTAGCACTAACACTGAGCTTACAGATGAATATGTTTGGCTTTTTTTAATGATACCCTGTGTGCAGCTTTAATCATGGATGAGCCTGGTGGTTGCTGTCTGGGTCGTTCTATTGGAATGCTGTTGCTGCAATTCTTGAGCATGTTTTCTGATGTGACTAGCAAAAATACAGTCTTATATTAAAAGTACCACGACGACTTCACGTTTCTCTATAATGGCAGCATTTGGAATTGAAGGTTCAAATGAAGGATAGCTGTGGAAGGGAGTACCCATGACTTTAGTTTTTATACTGGCTACTGAATAATTGGACACTCTTACTTTTTTTACATGGGGGGCTGGGGGTAGTGTCCTTTTAATTTTAACTGCCTCTAGCCCCTTGCTGTTACCACTTTAACTTCTATTTACAGAAGTCAAATAGCAGCAGACAGATGACAGTTTATGTTACAGCTCACTTAAATGCTGTCTGTGAAGCATCCTGAACATTTACCCTGAAGCAAAGCTCCACTGCTTCAAAGCAGGCTTCATCTGAACCCTGGTGTTGTCAGACTGTGGCATGTGTATATGTCTACCTTCTCTTTCGAGCAGCAAGCAAAAGCTAAAGGTAGACTTGGCCCTGCTTCAAGTAGAGGCCTGTAATTAGCTAAGTCAGTCAAGCTGAATTTCCTAGGTGTGTTTTCACTGCTCGTGTGTTAACACATAATTAGTTAGCTAAAACAGAGACCAGTGTGTTCTGGCAATGGGCATACAGATCCCTGAATCCCATAGGATAATTCAGTTGCCTGGGATCTGAAATGTAAATGTAATCCTCTGGACAAGTGGATGCCTTGGATATAAAAATTTGGCTTAATAATGCTCTGTGTGTTGCAACCAGCAAGGAGAAATTGGAGATGAGATACAACTCTTGGACCCTAGATGCCTGCTAAAAGAATCAGGGCTTTCTCCCTCCCTGTCAGTGAAGGGTTTTCCAGAGATCTGGAGGTAAATTTGTACCAAGGAAAAGAGGGAACTAGTAATTCTAGGATGGCAAGAAAGTTTGTGAGGAGCTGTCATTTTAAAACTTAATAATGGAGATTTTGAGACCTGCATAGCACATGCTGTTGCATTATACTAAGCAGTTTTAACTTTTGATATATCTGATTTCATTGGCTTAATTTTGGAACAAAATGAAGGTTCTTGCCTGTGTGAAAAAGAATGCTTTAAAAAATAATCCTCAAATATCATAGTTAAAAGATTGTTCTTTTTTTGCTAGAAATATGCTGTTACAGGACATACCGTTCTCCACGGTCTTGTTTGAATTACTCTTGTTGTGTTGAGTCAGCTGAGCTGCAAGGAGGTGGCACCTTGGTCAGGCAGCAGTGTCCTGTCTTCTGCTGCCGTGTGCCTCTGCACACGGAATCTTCTGTTGAGTTTCTCACTAGACAGGAGCTGTGAATCTTACCCCAAGTCTATCAGGTGGAATCTATCTCAGACAGTGCATGGAATCCTATAAAAGACGCTACCATTTCTTGTCTGACCAGTTCTTGTGCGTTTTTAACATGTGGTTTTCCAGGTGCATGTGCTACACTTTTTTTTTCTCCCTCACATTTCTCTCTCAGTTGAGGTTTGGATGGATTATTACTGGCAATGCAAAGAGTTAAAGCAAAGTGAATGAAATACTAACTCCCAGGGTGGAGAGATCTTACTTAAAAGTGAGGACTGTCTAAGCAAAACTATTTTACATGACCAACAGAGCAGGCTAAAGATGTGTGCAGAAAGCTGCAGCTTTGTAGTGAGGAGTTTCTACAGGTGCTGACTTGATTGATTTATGCCAAATTACAAAAGTTTGGTCTTTCTTTTTGGTCAGTATCCCTCCAGTTCAAGTGACGATGATGTATCGGATGACTTGTCTGTATAATCAAGCTAATGGCTTGGATAGCAGTATGTAGGAACGTGCAAACTTCTGTAGCTGGGGTAAATCTGGCCTGTAGCCTCTTTTAAACCATGTTATCTAATGCCACCTTTTCTGCTTAACTTTGTCAATTTCCAGTCTCTGTTCCCAGAACAGGAACTTTCTTTGTGCAAGTGCAAGAGGGGCTGCTGTCCAGACGACTGGATGCTATTACAGCACTGAATATTTTTTCTAGCAAAATAGTTGTTCTACCACCTTCTAATGTGATTAAAACTACTTTCATGAACTTCAGAAATGCTAAGAAAGTAGATGATATTCTTGAAGCTCTGCATAGATTGTCTGCAGTTCTTGAATTTTTCTCAGTGCATTTGTAGAATGGAAATAGTTGTGGTTAACAAGCAAGTCTTCAATTAGTAAATTGTCTCTGTGGAAAGGAATAATTAAGTTGCCTCTTGCTTTGCAGGTAAAGAAGAGATTTCCTCCAGATGAAACTCCACTGATCCAAAGATGCCCTTAACATAGTTGGTTGGATACCAAGCCTACATTAATGCCTTAACCTTTCTATTGTGCTTCAAATGACTTGATCAAAGTCTTATATTTTTTCCTACTATACCGTTTAACAGTGTGCCTAATGCAGTTTATACTCCTCTTTGGTACTGTACATTTTTTGTCTGTTAACATCAGACATGATGAAAATTTCTGAAGTTTTTATGGGTCATAGTCTACTTTCCTATTCATTTTACTCACTTTGCAGGAACACTGTATATATATCCAGGTCTTGGATTGCCTGTTGCCGTGCTGTTCACCCCTGTTTTGTTTGCCTGCACTTGAAAAATGTGTGCAATTAAGCTGTATGAAGAGAAACAATGGTGCCACTTGTAGATGGCATTTACTTCTTCAAACAAGTTGTATTCTTGGGAAATTTGGTTCTAAATTTCTCGTGCCTGGAAATAAAACTAATCCTCTACTTCATTCAAGATGCTTTTGTGCCATGTTTAAGTGCTGTGATATACTCTTCTGCAACTTTAATCATTCAGTGGTTGGTCAGAGCTGAGTTGAGGAAACACAGATGATGTGGATAAACTGTAATAAGGTCTTGTAGTGCATTGAGATGAGCATGCTTGCTGCCTGTATCGATACCTCTCAGGTCATTCTAAAATAGGACTAAGTCTGCAATCTAAAATTGCTGGAAGGTCTGCAGGAGGAGGTGGATGCTTAGCTTGAGAGCCTGTTCTCCTAGAACTTCCCATTGTCTGATCCTAGGGGAATTGGGTGACAGAGGTAACGTGAGTGGTCTGAGTGAAGCGTAAATAGTAATTTTGTTAAGAACTGATTTACTCTGTAGCCTTTTGGGAGATACCTACAGCATCAAGCAGCTTGACTTGAACAGAAAGCACAGCAGTGGCTTTATACTGGCTTGACACTTGCACGTGGAGTTGCAGACCTGATAAAGCACGTGACAGTGTAGGCCAGAGGTGAAGGATTGCTGAGGCTCCTCGGTGTCGGCTGAGTCCGGGGGGTTGGGAATGAGTCGGGGAAGACACTTGCTAAGGAGTAGCTTTAAAGGATATAAATCCTGCTGCATGCACTGGAGTCTTCATGTGTGCTCTCGTACCTCCGTACAGCACATCCAGACAAATTGTAATTGGTCCTTGCTGTGTTTTATTGTTATCCACAAGGACATAACCTTTTTTTTTTTCCTTTTGGATAGCACTGTTAACTTGTAATGAGCACTGTTCTGCTGAAGTACACAGGAAATTCCGAGATCCTGACAAGGGCTGTAACTCACTGTTGTGGAAAACTGGACGACATGAATGGCAAAAGAAGCAGGAATGCATCCACTTTTACAAATAAGCCTCAGGACTGTTGGGATTGGAAGTGGGAAAGCCTCTTCAAATTAGCTGCTGCTGCCGAGAGCTGTGTTTTAACATGTGAGAAATTGTACGCCATAATGCTTTATAATCTGTGGCAAATAATTCCTAACAAAATTGGAAACCAATTGATCTTATAAAAGCTTAGGTGGTTGTTTTTTTTTTTTTTAAAGTGTCTGTGAAGGATACATTGACATATCAGGAAGGGAGGAGAACTGCTTCAAGATGTTGACAATTTTGAATATCTGACAGTTTAATATACATTGACGTGCCTGTCATATTTACGCTGAAGTGAGACATCAAAAAGAAACCATTCAGTTTCTCCACCCATTGGAGTTACTGTATTGGTATTGCTGCTTTGTTTAACAAGCTTTCTGGTTTAGGTTCTAAGCTGTCACTCCCTGCAGAAGACACAGGAGAAGTAAAACAGAGTTCCCATGGTGTGTTTCACTGTTGGTGAATTTGATGTGAAGATCTATCTGCACAAAGCCTGGATGAACAAGCTCAATTTTTATTTACAGACTTTCCAGATAAGCATTGGGTAAAGGGAAGTTTTTAGTATTTTTTCTGAAAGGGATACCAGCATGCTTGAAGAAGTTGCAAAAATGTTTCTGTTCTGCTGAATGTTGTGTAACTTAACTGTCTGCATGCTGATTATGAAAAAAGGTATCTTTTACAAATAGATAAGGGCCGCGGCTTTTTTTTTCTCGATTTTTTTTGTATTTCTTCGGCT